TTACACATTTCTTCGACACAACTTACTCCACATCTTCGCATTTCTCATAATCCATCCATCTACACTCCGTCTCAGTTGAGGAAAAATTCTCCCAGGTATACACTAGTCACCACAGCCATGTGATGACATTGGGATGGGTCCCAAGCACGATTGCACTCTCCAGTTACAATATAATTTATTTGTCCAGATTATCTGTGAAGACAAAATGCAATGCATAGCGGCAATCGATGGATGAAGAGAGAGTTTGTAAATACACATATCTTTCCACTTGTTCAGGAGCTTACCTTTTGGAGTTCACATCGTTTACACGATCTCTTATGCTGTCTTGCACCTTGGCTTTGTTGACCATGGATACGCCATCCCAGAAGACATTCTACAGGAGCTACTAATGCAGAGCGTTTTTCACGCTCGATCTCGGCGATCTACCTCGTCACGCCAATAAAATCCTCCGTGACACTGGCTACAGTCACAAGAGACGTCTCAGTAAGGTAATGAGCACGACAACGCCGTCGAGATCAAGGACAAAGAGAAAACAAAACACTCACTGAAAACAGCAAAGAAGAAACGAAGAAATGTACACGATTCCTATATGTTGCCACTGACAACTGGTTCGGTGGAGACGACGCTACTTTTGTTTGTCCCCAGTGGGATCGTTGCTATGCGTATCGAAGGAACTGTGACGTCATCACTTAACAGCCCCATCCGCGAACCCAGCACTTTGGGCTCGTGATGCAGCATTTTGGGGGAAACGGAGCACTTGGCCGTTGTGTATCAAAATTGAGAGAAGAAAAACTTCCCAAACAAGAACGTTACTTCCGCATTCCGTGGGTTAGCTTCTTGTTGAGTACATGTAGTTTATGAATTGTTTACCATGGCAGACTCGAGCAAGTCTCTTATTGAGTATTTTCTTACTCCCTGGTTTTGACGGCGTGTGCTGAGGATGACAAAAAAGTGAGCATTTTCCGAGCATTTTCGGCAAGGTTTGGGAGCATTTTCGGCAAGGTTTACGAGAATTTCCCAAAAGCATTTTCGGCAAAGTTTCGGGCATATTACACCGGGCCGGGGCCTAGCTAGGGTCAACTGGGGCCAACTGGTTCGAGCGCGATCTGGCCAGCGGCGAGCAGGAAGTCAGGACATTGAAAGTCGATGGGGCAGGCAGTCAAAAGCGTAACTTTGGCTATAGCTTTTGACACAGTTGAAAGTTTTGAGCAGGCTTTTTGTTTGTTTTTCTGCCGGATGATTTGACCCGGCTTGACCCGGCTGGCCTGCATGCGCCAGGTACACTCTGACCGGGCTGTGTTGAATGTCTAGAGAAGGCCCTGGGGCAAGATGGCTGGTCGCTTGATACAGAACCGCCTTCAATCTAGGGCCGAGCATCTCCTCCCGGAGTCTCAGTGCGGATTTCGACCCAACCGTGGCTGTGCTGATGCTGTGTTTACTGTCCGGCAACTGGTGGAAAAGGCATACGAGCATCGTACAAAAATATTTTGTATCTTCGTGGACTTGAGAAAGGCATATGATTCTGTGCCTAGGGCTGCACTGTATCGTGCTCTTTCTGTCCTTGGTATTCCTCCGACTCTCCTCAAGGTCATTGAGTCATTTCATGATGGTATGGTGGCGGAGGTGCGTGTGCCTGGGGGTGTCACGGATGAAATTCGTGTGGAGAACGGCCTGAGGCAGGGGTGTGTAATGGCCCCAATCCTCTTTAACCTCTATCTGGCTCTGGTGGTTGAAAGTTGGCGGTCTGTTCTCGCTGATCGTGACCCAGACATTGGCATCCAATTTCACTATCGCTTGGATGGCCAGTTATTCAACCCAGCACGACGAACCCGTACCTATCAGCAGACCGCTGTTGTTGATGTTGAGTATGCGGACGATGCAAACTTTGTAGTTGGTTCGCGGGAGCATGCTGTGTTGGCCTTGATGGCGTTCCAGGATGTTTCTGTTGAATTTGGCCTCACTGTGAGTATACCCAAGACCAAGTTTATGGTGGCTGGTGTTGGTGTTACTTCAGTTGACACTGCTGGCATTCCGCTTCATGGACAGGTGGTGGAAAATGTTTCCTCCTTCGTTTATCTGGGTTCTGTCATCACTCCGGATGCGCGTTCTGCAGGAGACGTTTCGAGGCGTTTGTCACTCGCCTCGCGTGCCTTTGGATCGCTCCAGGATGTGTTTGCTAATCGTGATCTTTCACTCCATGTGAAGCGCCGATTGTATAACGCCTGTGTGATGACAGTGCTACTGTATGCTTCGGAGTGCTGGTGCCCTTTGCAGGGTGACCTCCGGCGCCTCGATGGTTTCCACCACCAATGCATCCGTAGCATCTTGTGTGTTTCGCGAACACAACAGTGGGAGGAACGCATCACCAATGAGCAGCTCCGAGAGATGTGGGGTGATCCATCGCTATTGTCCTCCCGGCTTCGGAAGCGGAGGCTTGAATGGCTTGGCCATGTGGCCCGCATGTCGGATGTTCGTGTGCCCAAGCAGCTGTTGTTTGGCTTCCTACCGTCGCCTCGGCCTGCGTGTGGTCCCCGTCGTCGCTGGAGGGATGTGATTTCGGCTGATCTTCGGCACATCGGCATTGAACATCTAGCTTGGTATGGGATTGCTCAGGATCGATCTGCCTGGCGGGTGTCTGCCGTTGGGCCGAGCCTCGGCGGTCCTTCCCATGACCAATCTCAACGGGTGGACTGTCTTATCTGCCACCGTTCGTTTCGTCGGCCAGGTGACAAAGCACGACACAAGTGTAGCGCAGAACGAAGTCTCCCCATCCAGGAACAGCGTGGTGCTGTGCAGTGTGGTACATGCAGGAGGTGGTTTCACTCTCGTGGTGGCTTGCGTGTACATCATTGTTTGCCCCTGGAACCATCGGAAGCGTCCGCGCCGGCATCACCTATTCCGCTCAACGTCCCATCTTCTCTCTTGTGTGTGACATGCAATCGGCAGATCAAGTCAGTGCCTGGTTTCAGACGTCACAAGTGCGACCGTGGCCATCGAGCAACCAGGTCTGATAGAGCGTCGTATGGTGTTCGCTGTTCTCGCTGCAACCGTCAGTTCCGTCGACAGAGTGACCTGAGTCGTCATCTCCGTTTCTGCTCCTGACAATGACTCTGGCTCCTTTCGGAGTGGTGTGGCCCTTGTGGCAACCAAGCTACAGTAGTAGTAGTAGTGTGTGTGTGTGTGTGTGTGTGTGTGTGTGTGTGTGTGTGTGTGTGTGTGTGTGTGTGTGTGTGTGTGTGTGTGTGAGCATGTGCCTCAATGATGGGGTAACTGTTATCACGTATGGCGTAGCTTCATTCCACTGTTTTTGTGTGATATAGGTCCACCTCACCGGTTTCTCCTCAATCCTGCTGATGGCTCCTGGCGAAACATTTGGTTGAGATCATTGAATTTGAAGCAAAGAGATCGCTTGCCTATAGGTGATGATGTAGGGTTTCCTAACTTATCTGTGTTAGATCTAGAAGTAAAAATAAAAAGACTTGTTGTGGAACTCTGATAGCACGTCCACCAAAGGCTGCTGAGCAGGAAAGTGTACTTTGTATCCGAGGTAATTGATAAAGCAAACAAACTTCAGTGGAAAGGTGGTTGCTCCCCACATCAGAGTTTGCGCTCCTATTTTCTTGTGAAATCATTGCAAAAGTCACTGCCACTATCTCAAACAAACTACAGTATAGGTTCAGTACATCCGTCGTCCAGACGTCCAGATGATGTCAGTCCGTACTAATCTGGACTAGATGTACTTCCCCCGGAAACAAAACTCCGTGACTTTTTCAAATGACTTTTCAAGGAGTTACTGTGCTCAACAAAAGTGTTCTATTGGAAGGGAAACACTTCAACATGCTCAATGAGGATTGCCTTAGCTTTGCTATGTGCATGAAACGCAGCATTACAACAATGACCTAGCTGGCTGTCTCTGTTCTCTTCTGCCTTTGTGCTCAATGGACATGTGTATACAATATCTACAAGATTGATTGGTGGGAATAGAGTCTAGTTGAGTCGCCATCGCTCGATACATCACTGCTGGAACCAACCAGTGGCAGGTCGATCGACTCGTTTTCGCATGTCATGGAGCAGCTTCTCCGCGTCTGATTGTCTTCGCTGTTACTACTAGTACTGGTACGTGATTTAAACCAGTGCCTTCCCTAGCATGGAGGTGGAGACCCAGGCGGCGCTAGTACTCATTATCGCCTCCGCCCTAGAGGATGCCCCCAAACGACGCGCACAGGCAAAGCCAAACATTTCGCATATTCTCCCCATCGTAGTCGTCCCATCACTTCACCACTGCTGCGAGGAGATCTCGCTGTTCTCCTATGCAACCAAGGAGACATCGGAATGGAGGCTGCTGAAAAAGGCGAGATCTTCCACGTTGAGGTATGGGCTCCGCGGGGGCTGAACGACGACTTTGATTTGGAACTTTCTAGCTTTGCTGTGCTGCGCGGAGTGATGAGTGTCACATCTTTGCGTTTTGGAGTTTTGACATCTTGCCAACCTGTTTGAACTTTGGCTGATGTTTTTGGGGATGACGGAGATTTCAAAACGCTAGCTGCTATCCCTTTCCTACTCTTCTTGCTCCTCAGTGCCATTGTCCTGTTCTTTCTCATTCTGAACCAAAAACTGGCAACGACAAGCAGTGAGCACAGTGCTTCAGTTGGCAATGTGCCTGGTGGACAAAAATGCAAAACACCCGTCCGGTTGGTTTACAGTACAACACCCTTGCCTTGCGATGGCTGTCGGATTTCCAGAATGTGAATCATGCCTTCCTACTATTCCAAAATGTCATCTGTTAGTGTTTCAGGCCGACATAGCCACACAGAGAGCGACAGAACAGAAGCAAAAATCAGTGAAAAAAGTCACGAAGTTTTCCGGAGGAAGTATGTCTTATCAGGGCATGTCCACTGTTGCATAATACCGTATTAATAGCATGCCCAGAAGTGATAATCGGCTTTTTCTACAACTACGGAATATGGGAGATCCAATAACGACAAGGTTTTTGAACTTACAGTTATTGCATTGATCGTATTCCTCGGCGGGTCGTTCAGGCTCAGTGTCCAGCAATGGTAATGTGTCGTACACGTAGCCAAAGTCAGTACTCCGCTGCAGAAACTCCCTGTTCCGATAGAGAGGGAATGAGGGAACAATGCAATCATTTGCATTGTGTCCTGGGTCTACGCCCGACTCTGGGAGATAACGTAGCGTACCGAGTTGTTGCAGCTTGATCATGAAGCGCTCAAACACACGATCCACCATGGAGTGATGGAGGTAGAAGATAGGATCACTAGGTGACATGGCTACATTTGTAAACACACCGCCTGCATAGATATGCACAGCATTATGCATCTCTTCGGCGAAGCTCTCGTTTGATAGACCTCCAACACTGCAGTAGTGCTTCCCAGGGAGAGGAACACTTCCTTCCAACCCAGCGCGAAGGCTAGATGGAGAATGCTCAAATAGATTGAAACTTGCAACATCATAGTGAGTAATATTTACAAGTAAATCCCAGGCATCACGAGCACTTGGCAGCCACTTGACAATGTTATACTGGTGTCCATAGTCTCTGCGAACAAGTGGTATCCCTACATCAAACTGCGAAGCATTGCATAGGCTTCCCGGTCCGCGTTTTGGTGATCTTCGCATGATGTTGGGCTCAGTAAGCGGGATAGCAAAGCCCGCTTCACAACAGATGACTCTAAAATCACGGAATACACCCACAAGTGAGGTTTCATTGCCGTCAAAGATGTCAGAATGAGTGAATAGATGGTCACGATTCTGCCGATCCATCCAATCCCAATAGGGAGCCGCAAATGAGTCGTTTCCAGATACTCGTTGAAGTTCTGATTCGAACAACAGCATAAAATATCGGTGCCATGTGAGTAAACTAGGGCCATTGTGTGCGAAGTCCACTCGGGGGCCGTAATCATGACCTTTATAATTACCACTAGGAACTCCCGAATCTTTAGCAGTGTAATAGTGAATCCAGGTCAGAAACTCATAGGCTGATATTCCAAACTTGAAGTCCTCTGCTGTTAAATTGGATTGCAAGTGGCTTGATTTGCTAAAATTCTCCTCTGAGATGAGGACACCATAGCGACTTGGACTTTTGCTTCTATCATTCATATCCGCAATGGTTTGTTTGACATAATCACGCTCATCATCATCCAGTGTCATGTAGTTTCTGCGTACCAGAGGTGTTTTGCGTTTCACACAAACACTCTTATCAGCAGTTTTCACGTAACCGAACTTACACTCGGTGCAGTCATATCCAGCCCAGTTTCCCTCACACTCACAGATTTGTTTGAACACTCGGTTAGGCCATGGATAGCGCGATGGCTCCGACACAGGATTCTTCAGATAGGCAAGAACATGGGCTGGATCATCTGGCGTTTCAACATGACAGTGTGAGCTTTCGATACGCTTACAAGCGCCACGACCCGGTCCACCACATTCCGCTCCGACGGAGTTTCCCACAGTGACAACTGGGCAGCATTTCTGTTCACGGAGGTCGTTATCATTAAGGCAAGCTATGGGAAACTGAGCGCGTGCAAAGACTAAGTGAACCACCAGGAGAACGCTGAATTTAGACAGGAAGACTATTTTGTCTTCGCTGTTGCTCATCATACTGCAGACGAATTCCGGACATTTCTGGTCTGCGTAAAAATTAATGTCAATCGCTGCCGAACGCTGTTCTCCGCTTGCGACAGAGCGCTAGAGCGCGACGAGTAGCTGGGCTCTGAGACTTGAGTCGAGAGAAAGCCATGCAGAGTCACCTTGGTCACTGGCAGAGACTCTGCGCTAGGCCTCCGTGTAATCATGATGCCAGCATTTTTTTGAGCATTTTCGGTAGAGGGGACGGCTCGATACTGGGACGCTTTGACAGCCAAATTTGTATAGACCCAAACGGATCATCAACGTAACTCGTTGATTTTTCACTCGAAATATGTTTGTGGAAGGAAACTGGCATGTTGAAGTCAGTTGCTCTGGGGCCAGAGTCAATCGAACTGAGCCACTCCTTTGTGTTGACCCATTGCCTCCAAGTAAATAGTTGCCCAATTATTCGCTTCAAAAAAGTTCAAATCAGAGGTGGCTCCAAACCGGACACGTTTTAGAGTGCACGTCAAATTCACTCTGGGTCTGAAATTAGGTAATTGCTATCGCTCCACGACGGCCAGTACAGAGTAACAATAAGCCTTGTGTGTGCTTCCATTAGTTTTGATTGGTATGCGGTGCTTTATTGGCGAGAGGCGAGCCGCTGTTTACCTGCGACAAGAAGTTGATTTTTCGAAAGTCGTAAAACTCAAGTCGCAGTGCGAAGCAACACGTCAAAAACTCACCTGCTTGATATGGCGCTTCTGGTCATCGCAGAGCCATGAAATTTTGGCTCGGAGTATAACACATCGTAGTCTCACTGTGACATATGTTTTCTAATCAAAATACCAAGAGAGAAAGTGAATATTGAGTCCGTTCCGGTTTGCAACCTATGTCCTATTTGAAACCGTCCCCTCTACAATCCGCGAACCCAGCACTTTGGGCTCGTGATGGAGCATTTTGGGGGAAACGGAGCACTTGGCCGTTGTGTATCAAAATTGACAGAAGAAAAACTTCCCAAACAAGAACGTCACTTCCGCATTCCGTGGGTTACCGTATTAGAGAGGTTGCGCACAACGAAAATTCGTAGCGCCGTAACGAATATTTTTAACGAAAAAAGCTAACGAATATTCGTAAATATACAAATAATCTACGTGGAGATAAAAGTTTAATAATAGCAATGAAAAGTATGAATGCCGCAGACATCACCACGCAACATGACAATTTGTTCAAGGTTTGGTTTTGTGTGTTTCCAAAATCGATTTTCACGTTCCGATCATCAGTGGAAATACGGAACTAAAGAGATCAAGGGAAAAACAAAGGTTAAAAATCCAAAGAAGTGTGACACATGACGGGTAACTTGTGGTAAGTTTTACAAAAAGTGAGAACTAAAATAAAGAGTAAGTGTGACAAACGGGCATGAACAGTGCAGAAACAACTCATGAACACGGGGTGCAAACTCACGAAAATAACCTAAGTGCTAAAACATGTTCTTTTTGCTTACACAAATCGGGCTTATGCGTACGAATACAAACAGCTTCAAGGACCTTCAACTGCTGGACATAACGGGCACGACACAGTACAGAGAAGTGGGAATCATCATACACACTCAAACAATCGGGACGAGATAACAAATGCAAATACACAGCTGACTTCTTACGAATTTCACCCTCATCAGCTCCATCACCTTCCCTGCCACCTGACTCCTCCTCGTCCGTTTTATCACCATCACCACCAGCCGTCTCACCGTCATCCGCCTCGTCTTCATCCGCCGCCTCGTCATCACCCGCCTCGTCGTCATCTGTATCCTCGCCGTCATCAAAGCTGTTTGTATTCGTACGCATAAGCCCGATTTGTGTAAGCAAAAAGAACATGTTTTAGCACTTAGGTTATTTTCGTGAGTTTGCACCCCGTGTTCATGAGTTGTTTCTGCACTGTTCATGCCCGTTTGTCACACTTACTCTTTATTTTAGTTCTCACTTTTTGTAAAACTTACCACAAGTTACCCGTCATGTGTCACACTTCTTTGGATTTTTAACCTTTGTTTTTCCCTTGATCTCTTTAGTTCCGTATTTCCACTGATGATCGGAACGTGAAAATCGATTTTGGAAACACACAAAACCAAACCTTGAACAAATTGTCATGTTGCGTGGTGATGTCTGCGGCATTCATACTTTTCATTGCTATTAAAGGGGAAGTATACCCTAAAATCAAATTTTCACCAGTTGTAGTCTTCGGGGTGCTGAGTCGAATGGTCTTGGTCCGAGGAAGCTGCGACGCTCCCTTCCTACTTGAATCCCAATCGAACTCGCGCACTTCCACCGAAACTGGGTGACTGCGCCCTACTAGATGGGGATTTGTATGCAAAATGTCACTAAAAGCGCCATTTCGTTCTTATAAAAGCACGGATGACCGCGATTGGCCCATATGTTTTAGTCTTTTGGACGCTGAGTCGACTGGTTTTGGTCCGAAAAGGCTGCGATGCAGCGTTCCTCCTTTATTCCCAATCGAACATGGTTGAAGAAGCGGTCACGTGCTCCTGGGTGCCCAAATCACCTGGTCACCGCGCCAGCAGGCGACAACTTTCACACCAAGGTTCAACTCGAGTTCAACTCGAGTGACAGGACTGCACCCAAAAAAGGTCAAACAGGCTAGTAAGTTGTACCCTGCAGGCACGGTGACCAGGCGACTGGTGTACGCACGAGCACGTGACCGCTTCTTCAACCATGTTCGATTGGGAATAAAGGAGGAACGCTGCATCGCAGCCTTTTCGGACCAAAACCAGTCGACTCAGCGTCCAAAAGACTACAACATATGGGCCAATCGCGGTCATCCGTGCTTTTATAAGAACGAAATGGCGCTTTTAGTGACATTTTGCATACAAATCCCCATCTAGTAGGGCGCAGTCACCCAGTTTCGGTGGAAGTGCGCGAGTTCGATTGGGATTCAAGTAGGAAGGGAGCGTCTCAGCTTCCTCGGACCAAGACCATTCGACTCAGCACCCCGAAGACTACAACTGGTGAAAATTTGATGTTAGGGTATACTTCCCCTTTAATATTCGTAAACCGTGAGGTTGCTAGGCTCCGGCGGATTATGCTCGCGAAATCATGGAATTATGCTTTCAAGGATTCTCGCATTATGCTCGTAAAATCCTCATATTATGCTTTGGCACCCGGGGATATTATATTCCCTTTGTTGTACTTATGGAGCCTCTAAGTTCGGAAATTGTGCTTTTTTCGTACTTGCAAGTTGCAAGTGGCCATAAGTACAACAAAATACATGAGTATCCCGATATTGTAACAGGTTTAATCAAACTTGAAAAGTAAGAGGCCTGGTTGAGCGTGCCTCGACCAGTTATATGCAAAATGTGATAGTATACATGTGGCAATGGCGCCAATGAAGGTGCTAATAGACAGGCGTAAGACGCATGAGGTGCGAGGGAGTGTAAAGTTATAGAGAACAGGGGAAAACTGTTACATCATCCCCCTCCTATGGAGAGGAAGGAGCTTATAACCCAAATGCTCAAGTGGAATAGAGTACAATAAGCGCAAACACGTGCGAGACGAAAAAAGGCTTTGCACTGAAGTAACACAATAAGATGACTGAAACTCCATGCAAATTAAAGTGTAATAAGCTCAACAAATGTGTAAGGTGAAACTAGAAGTTCAACTGCAAAACTCAGCGGGCAGAAGCCAAGGTTTTGTACTTCTGAAGTGGAACAATGTCATTACCAGATTCATCCAACAAATAATGTTCAGGCTCCCAAGTGGCATCAGAGTAGCCTTGCCACTTGACTAGGTACTGAAGCTGATTCTGCCGGCGGCGGTGACTGAGAATGTTCTCCACCACATAGCGGGCATGACCATCAAGGTCCGTGATAGGCGGAGGCGTAGGCTGTCTCCTATTAGGAATAGCGTTCTTCTCGTAGGCACGGAGTGCCGACACATTAAATACCGGGTGACAGCGGCTGGTATGAGGCAACTTGAGCTTGTAGGCATTCGGGCCGACCACATGGGTTATAGGAAAGGGGCCAAACCACTTGGGGCGTAATTTATGGGATGGTCGGTCCCGAGCTTCAGGAGTCAGGAGGAAATCCCGGTAGACCATTACCAAATCTCCCACCTTCAGCTTTCCCTCGACCCTTGTCCGATCTGCATAGAAGGCCTGACGAGCTTGAGCTGCCACTAACGCATCTTGTGAGATCTTGACCGCGTCTTGTCTTGCTTGCAACCAATCAGCTGAATCTCTGCCTCCCTGAATAGGGTTGAGGAAGTCGGGTGGCGCTCTGGGATTTAGACCGTAATTTAAGAAGAACGGTGTGTTTCCTGTAGATGATTGAGTAGCGCTGTTGATAGAAAACTCACAGAGAGGTAGGAGCATATCCCAGTTATCTTGTTTATGATTTACAAAAGCCCTCAACACATCCTCTACTATTCTGTTTACTCGTTCAGTTAGGCCATCTGTCTGAGGGTGATTGGCAGTACTAAATGCTAGTTTCGTTCCTAAGCGATCAAACAATTCCTGAAAAAATGCTGCCGTAAATCTTGGATCACGATCACATACAATACTAGAACTCAAACCATGAAGTCGAAATACATGTTGAATATACAGATCAGCACTTCCTTTAGCGTCAATAGTAGAGGAAGTAGGTGCTAAATGTACACACTTTGTCAAGCGGTCTACAAATACATATATAGCATCATGACCTGTATCGGTCCTAGGCAAACCCATGATAAAATCCATCGAGATATCCGCCCACGGCTGACTGGGCACTGGTAAATTCTGCAAGAGACCAGTTTTTAGCTGGCCGCCTTTAACTCGTTGGCAGACGTCACATGACTTGACAAACGCCTTTACATCCAGTCCCATTCTGGGCCAATAGAAATATCTAGCGAGTCTGAAATAGGTGCGATCTCGACCGGGATGCCCCGCAGTCACACAGTCATGGTATTCTTGAAGCAGGGCGAGTCGGAGTTTGCTACTCTTTGGAATGCATAACCTGTTCTGTGGTGAAGATCTGAGATAAAGATAAC